TATATATATATATATATATATATATATATAATTTAATTTGTTGCACGTTTATAGAGCGAAATGAGAAATAGGTCGCCCAAATCGCATATACGGAAAGTTTATCAATTTTTAAGCGAAATGTGTGGCAAGGAGGACAAGAAACCAATGACTACCTAGCGTAGAAAGCCCTTTAAGTGAATCTACATAAAACGATTTGAAATTCTTCTATGGGCTAAAATGAAGCGTTGTGATCATGAACATCTCACCCATAGTTAAGTTTCTGCATCGGCCAACCCACGCCTACACTTTATTCAGGACCCGAATGAAACATGTTTTATTTTCGTGTGAGCCAAACGCTGGCGCATACATCCACACACCAGTCTATATTACTACGTGGGTGTTGTACCTGAACAAGTTTCTTATCAAAATCGAACCATTTTTATCATACATTTTCCATTAAATGGTTCCACCAGGGTGGGTCTTTGTAAATCCGCTGAAGTGTGGTGTCTCACTTTACTCTGACTTTCGTGAACAAAGAGGTAAACACTCTTTCGTCTTGTTCTCGGATAAACATCGCGGGTATAGTTCGCTTGGGGTGACTCAAGACACCGAGATCGCGTAAGCTCGCGGTGACGGCTAGTTTGCTTATGTTTGGGGTTTTAGCACCTGTTCTGAGATTGAACTGGCGAGCGGTCTAATTCGTCTTAATGCCGTTCTGACCGCAAAACATTATTCACCCAGTTCTTACTAAAAAAAAGAAATGCTTGTGTTCAGAAAGCGCGACCTGAAAGAATGTTCTGAATAAAATTGGAGCCTGAAATGATCTTCAATAGACTGTACAGGTCATAGCTGTTTGAAAGCGAAATCGGGGATATCGCAAACAAAAACCTGCTGTCCGATTCTGAACCCGGGATAATAGAATGATTGAGAAATCTGGGCATAGGTCAGAGAACAAAACGAATTTGCATTCCTCTACAACCGTATCGAACGAAAAAAGTGACAAGGAACTTAAATGTGGATAAGTGCTCGGCCATCCAGTGGAGGTCGCCTGATTATTGGGTAATGTCCAAAAAAGGGCTCGTTACAAATGAAAGCAAGATTGTCTTGGGGGTTGTCATTTTTCTTGCTGATCAGGTTAGGCATTTTAACTGTTCCCTGTAAACAAAAACGTCCACTTTTCGGTTTAACATACTCGCAGCAGGTGTGCTAGCCAAAAGCCCAGACACGTGTTTCGCCGATCTTGTGCCGCTGCATGAGACAGCTGGGAGGGGTTTGCCTCATCAGTGGGATCCTTAGTGTTCCTAGTTTTCAACAATAAGCCGGTTAGATGGTAGTTGGTAGCCCTCCCGGTACCGAAAATTCCCAGCTACCTGTCTTAAGGGACCGGGGGTAATAGGGCTATGCGGGTGGGGCAGACGAGTGGAGGCGTAAATGGCGCTTGTATGGTATGCCTGGAATTGACGTTCCTGGCAAATTGGAAGCCTAATTTAAATAAGGTGAAAAATGCAAGGAGGGTATAGAAATAGGCACGGATAATTAGTACGGTATGCGGAATAAATGCATCCTTGCCCCAGATTGGAAAGAATAGCAAGTGAAGGCGAACAATCAATAGGAAGAAGGCAGTGTGTCTTAAGGTCATTCCGCAGTATGTGCGATAGTACTCTAACCGACAGAATGGACATGAGAACACAAGAATCAAGCAGCGGCACGCAGGACGGCAAAACGCAAGCGGGGTAAGACTTTAATGCGAAAAATATGTTTGGGCGAAAGAGAAAATCTGCAAATAATAGTGTATAGTCACTGTGGCCACATCTAGGATTAAAACTATTGCAGTATTTGTTTGCTATACGTGAATGGTACACTATACAATGTTAAGAGGAATTAGCATTCTGTATATGAAGTTACACTTTGTTCAGCTTGCAGAGCCCAGTCTCTTAGAAGGCGAAGGAAAGCAGGACCGCAAGTGGATAGGCCAACAGATAATTTGCGGATCCTGGAAATAATCCAGTCGTCCTACCTAGTGCAGTATCTCCAGCAGAAAGGACTACTGACCGGTAGGGTCTTATGTAGATGTCGAAAGGTCATGCCCTTACAAATACTGCGACAGCACACGGATGGTTATGTCTTCAGGTAACATCTGGGCACTATGGTATGCGGCCTAGGATAGTACCTCTAAAATGAATCAGATACAGGTAACACAGAGCGCACATACAATTAGAAGCATAATGAGAAGCATGATGAATCATTATCCGACTAGGATAAATCTTTCGCCCTTTACTAAAGATTTCCGTGTAGGGGTGCAATGCAATGAGTCTGTATAGACACTTTTGCAGCGCCTCGTTCTCGGGGCGATTAAAGTGAAGAAGAAAGGGCTTCCGCGCGAGCACTACCAGACATAATGAGAACGTAATCACAGAGCTTGAAATCGAGCCAGTAAGTACAATTGTAGAATCAGTGGGCAGGGCTACCAACTACCATCCTACCAATAAGCCCTTTAGTTTTCTCAGAAAATGACACATGA